ATATATGGAATCGGTACAAAATTTTAAGGCATTCTGATTTTATATTCCTAAGCGAATGGCAACGTTTTACCTCCACGCCCCTTTATTTCAACTGCCATGCAAATTTCGTGATTCTATGCATGCAATGAACATGTACGCGATCTCTTCTAGGAACCATGGAAGCAATTATGGCGAAGACTGACAAAATCATTAGGCAGCAATTATCGAATAAAATATTTTTATTATTAACACTAATAGCTAATCGACGGAATATTCTTTGGAGCGTTTCATCGGTATCAGACCTTAACGGGCACCGCTCTTTACAGTGAAGCAGTTTTTGCCTGTTTCCTATGCGCTGCCTGCGAAACGGCTCTGTCACCAAACAGCTCGCACCTTTTAATCGTCAATCACGACGCTTCCATCAAACAGAACAGCAATTATTCAATTGTTTGTTACTTTACAGACGAGGTGGTGTGGCTTTTATCGTTCCCCACTCGCACTTTCAATATTTATTCGATAACGCCCGAACTTGTTACAGCATTATTGTCGGTCATTAGCGTTCTATGTACAGACTTCGCTGAGCACTTCGACTGTTTGAACTGGTAAGGGGCACTATCGAGGGTTTGAGGGTGATGCTCACTTCCGGTAGGATAAGTTTGATCACTACGTACAAACGCGCTTTACGTTTCCGTTATGAAGCAGCTTCGGTTGCAATTTCTTAATGGAGTTATAAATGCTGCATGACAACGGCCCAAAGACGTACTGAATTTGAGCTTGCACCTCACTGCTGCTTCGCTGTTTACTCCATTCCCTCAGCAGTAATGAGCTTCGCTGCGAAAACATTTTGGGTGCAAATGTACGCATCTTGCAGTAGTTACCAAGAACTGTTGACCAGTTCACAAAGTGAACGATTGCTCGACAGCGAACGGATAAAGCAGCCGGCTAAAAGGTGATTCATGATTAAAACTGATTTATGGATTATGTTCAGATGAAAAGGCATACCCGCTTCAGTGTTCGATGTACAGACAATTTTCTCGATCCATCTATCTTAACAGCTTTCTATTTCTTTCAAATCAGAGCAACGGCAGAGTCAGGTGATCTGTTAATTGGCTAGGTCTTCCGCAATCGTATGAGTTTCCCATGCGCGGCAGCTCCAGTATTTAATATACTTCTGCCATATGCCTTGCGATCTTCCTTTTGAATGAAGAATCTTCCTTTCACCATTCATATGAATTATTTGCAGATTCTGTCTTGCCGCAAACAAAGCGCTTCGTGCAAAGCACATTGAGCAATAGAAATCAAAAGAAAGCGTAATCTAAAACAGAGCATCGATTCCTCGTCTCCGAGAGTGTCTTTTCATTTCAAGATGATTGACAGCAAATGACTAAAAATTATATTGAAATATTTCACTTTCAATGCGTTTCGACTGCGCACGCTATTATTAACATCACACACATACATTGCAAAAGCGGTTCACTAGATTTAGTCATGATTATAAAAATTCTTTGAGTGCCCAATTCAGTCACTTTTATATTCTTTGTAAACGAACTAGCTAAAAATATTACTGTAGCAGTACTTTCTAAGTAGTTCACGGTAGGTTTTAATTTTTTAGAACGCAGTGGCTATGAGGTAGGCTTCGAACTCCAGAGGTGTCGGATGGGAGTCCGAAAAAATTTCTAACTTACAAAACCCCTAATTCCCTTGAACAACGAGTTCACTTCGCGTTGCTTCGGCAAACTAGCTAAAAATTGATAGGAACTTACAGACAGTCAAAAAGTAGGTACAACATAGCAATCTGGTGTAATCGCACGTCAAAGACAAAATGTACAGCAATGCTGTCCAATGCGAGCACCTCGGCGGGGCTGTAATTCGCCCTGACTCAAATTTCCGCTGCTTCTTCAATGTGATAATCATCAGAAAGTGTGACCCCTGTTGTTGCTGTGAAGATTCTTTTATTTACAGCCCAAATTTCGATTGAACCGCTTTTGGTATTTTCAGCAGCTTCGGAGTTATAGTTTTTATGTTCAACCATATTCTGACATTGCAAGCATACACTGATTCATAGCCTTCGCACTTGATCTAGTGAGTATCGTTGATGGCACAACACATTTTTGAATTTCTGGCAGTTTAGTGACCTAAGATAAGTCAGATTTATTTGTAGCTGACTTAGTGTTTTCATTATGAGTTTAAGAAGGAACATAATTCGAGATTCAGTCCAAGTCGGTAACATCTCGGTCTCATAAGAATACAGCTAAACCCGTCTATATATAACAGAGACTTTGCGCTACCTTTTCAGGTTTAAGTTTATGCTATGATTTACGCATAAGCTGAGGTTTAAGCGGTGGTGCGGAAAAGAAGTGAGCGAGGGAGGGGCAGTGACGCAGCAGGTTGGTCAGTTGCTTTACATGTTAAATTGTTGAGTTCTCTTATTAACTGCTAATTGCCTTGAGCGAGAAACTCACGCCACTGCGTTTCGTTTTGACACAATCAGCCGAAAACAGGTAGCAGGTCGCTGACCCGCTAATAATAGGGACAGCATAGTGCTTTAACGTTGTCATGCCAAAACGTGAGGCATGCGGTTCATGCCATCTGGCGTCTATATCATTCGCCTCGACTCACCCGAAAGCTGACTAAAAACCGGCACAATGTGTAAACATCAATTTAAATTTAAAAACTTCACTGATCTCAGATCTGGAACGAACAGCGAATTAATTTCAGTCTATAGTGGTATGGACGGATTGTCAATCTGGACATTATCACTGGCAGAGGTTTTTCTGCAATCAGTGGCATCTGCTATTCAGATGCACTTGATTATGAACGCAAAAAACTTAACGGGCGTGCATTGACGAAATCCATCCATCAATCGTCGAACATAAAAACAATGTGTAGGGCATTACCAAAGCGCAGATGATCATGACAAAGCAGCTAGATGCGAACATCAGAGATCAATTCTGGTGCAAATGAGTCGGATCTGCTGCAGATATGCTGCTTCAGCATCGCATTAAATTCCGGTACCGAAAGTCACGATTTAATGCAACTATCGCCTCTTCGTTTGTTGTTTATTTTCCATGAAACTCGAGTTTCGTCAGTTACATTTTCTGTGTCAACTACTCTGGTTATGCAAGTTTCTTTTATGCCAAT